GCTCTGGGACGAATTCCCGACAGTCTGCACGGGTGACCGAGACTGACTAGAGCTGCCTCTCACTCTGGCCGAGTTCTCAGAAGCCCTCCGCCGCATGCCCACCAATAAATCTCCAGGCATGGACGGGCTGACCGTGGAGTTCTACCGCGTGTTCTGGGACATCCTCCGCCCAGACCTAGTCACCGTCTGGGCCGAGTCTTTGCAGAGCGGGGTCCTCCCTCTTTCGTGCTGTGCTCACCTTATTGCCGAAGAAGGGGGACCTCTGCGATTTACGAAATTGGCGTATTGTCTCGCTCCTCAGCACGGACTACAATGTTGTAGCGAAAGCCATCTCGCTGCGGCTAGGGTCCATGCAGGCGGACGTGGTCCACCCAGACCAGACCTACACCGTCCTGGGCCACACCATCTTCGACAACCTGTATCTGGCCCGGCACCTCTTGGAACTTGGGTTGAGGGATGGTCTGTCGTTCACCCTCCTGTCCCTGGATCAGGAGAAGGCTTTCGACAGGGTAGATTACGGGTATCTCCTGAGCACTCTGCGAGCGTTTGGCTTCCAACCCCAGTTTGTGGGTTTTCTCCAGGTGCTGTACGCCTCCGCAGAGTGTCTGGTCAGGCTCAACTGGACCCTGACCGAACCGGTCAGCTTCGGGCGAGGAGTATGGCAGGGGTGCCGTACTCCCGGGCCAGCTGTACGCTGTGGCGATCAAGCCCTTCCTCTGCCTCCTCCGCAGGAGGTTGACAGGTTTGGTGCTGTGGGAGCCGGAGCTGAGGCTGGTCCTGTCGGCATACGCTGACGATGTGCTCCTTGTGGTCCAGGACCCCGGCGACTTGGTGCAGGTGGAGGCTTGCCAGGCCATCTACTAGGCAGCCTCCTCCGCCCAAGTCAACTGGGTCAAGAGCTCTGGCTTGGTGGTAGGAGACTGGTGGCAGGTGAGCTCCCTCCCACCCGTGCTTCAGGCCATCCGGTGGAGCGCGAGTCCGCTGCTTTATCTCAGCGTTTACCTTTCTGCCACACATCCCTCTCCGCCGGAGAACTGGCACAATTTAGAGGGGGGGTGATAGAGCGGCTCCGGAAATGGACAGGTCTACTCCGGTGCCTCTCCCTTCGAGGGAGGGCACTGGTGCTTAATCAACTAGTCCTGTCCATGCTCTGGTACTGGCTCAACACCCTGGTTCCGGCCCCAGGTTTCCTGGCCAACCTCCAGACATCGATTCTGGAGTTCTTCTGGTCAGGACTGCACTGGGTCTCTGCAGGGGTTCTCCATCTACCCCTGGAGGAGGGGGGGCAGGGCCTGAAGTGTCTCCACACTCAGGTCCATGTCTTCCGCCTCCAGGCCCTGCAGAGGCTCCTTTATGGTGCAGGTAGTCCAGCGTGGAGCATACTGGCGCACGCCTTCCTGCGCCGCTTCCGAGGGCTCTGATATGACCAGCAGTTCCTTTAGCTCCATCCAAGAGGTCTTCCGCGAGACCTCTCTGGGCTGCTGGTCTTCTACCAGGACCTCCTCCGGACCTGGAAACTGTTTACAGCGACCAGGTCTGTGGCAGCCTCCGTGGGGGAAGATCTCCTTGCGAGCCCCTGCTACACAACCCCCAGCTCCGCGTGCAGGTGGCGGAGTCCCCGTTGGTGTGCCAGAGGTTGGTCCTGGCAGAAGTCACAAGGGTCAGAGACCTCCTGGACTACGACCGGGGAGACTGGCTGGATCCCCTGATGCTCGCTCAGCGCATGGGGCTCTCCAGATCTCGTACTCCCCAGCGCGTACTTCAGGAAGTGAAGGCCGCTTTGCCACCCGATGCTCGGGTTTACCTCGACGGGGTCCTGCACAAGGGCGCGCCCCATCCACCCTCCACCCCAGGCCCGCCGGACCTTTTCATTGGGCTTCTGCCCCGTGGACCCAACCGACCCACCCACCCCTTCACTGTGAGCTGGCTGCACGAGCTGCAGCCGGTCTGCTTCCAGACCGCACCAAGGAAACATCTATACACGATCGTGCTCCACATCCTTCACACCCTCCCCCTTGTGTCCCGCCCCAATACAAAATGGCGGGACCTCCTGCCACCTTTGGAGGGTGAGGAGCCCCGGTGGGCCAGCCTATATTCCACCTTGGTCCCGATGCCTGTGGGGGATATCAGTTGGCAGCTCCTTCACGGAGCCATGAGCACAGGCGTGTTCTTGGCGCGGTTCACCCCTATCCCAACACCTGCCCCTTTTGCGGCGTGAGGGAAACCGTGGCACACACACATTTGGAGTGTGCCAGGCTGCAGTCCTTATTTCGGCTCCTCACCAATATTTTATTACAGTTTTGGTTGCACTTTTCCCCTCACCTTCTTATTGATGCACTCCCTATCCGTGGCCCCACAAAGTCATGGGATCTCCTGGTCAACCTTCTCTTGGCCCTAGCTAAAATGGCCATCTATAAAACCAGAATGAGGAGGTTGGCCGATTGAGTCTCCTGTGACTGTGAGGCCTATTTCCGATCCTTGGTCCGTTCACGTGTCCAGGCAGAGTTCCTCTGGGCGGCATCCACTGACTCCCTTGACACCTTTGAGGAGCAGTGGGTGCTGTCTGGGGTTCTCTGCTCGGTGTCCCCATCCGGTTCCCTTCATTTGACCCTTTGACCACGCTCCTGTCCCTGTTGTTTCATTCGTTGTCCCCCGGATTTATTTGGTGTCCAGGTCCTGTGGATCCCCCTCTTAAGCTGAGGGGGGGATCCTTTAGCAGTGTGCGGGCTTTGCCCACCCACTTCCCAGATCCCAATAGGATCACTCTCCTGTAGCCATCTGGCCTGACCCTGTCACAGTCTAAAGTTCTGTCTCAAATCCCATGCAAACTAGGACAGGAAGTATTTATTGATCTTTCACCATGGTTCGTGAATATTACAGGTTGTTAGAGCAAAGGGTGATATGCAAGTAATCCCACAAGTAGAATACAGCAGTTATATTCGGTACTTGGGTATATTGAGGATCAAGGCCTGTATGTAATTTGTCTTAAAATATAAAGGAATAAAATTGGTTCAGAAAAATTTGTAAACTTCTTAAAAAAAAAAAAGATAAAGCCCTTTCCTTACATTTTGAAATGAGCACTTTATGAACTCCCAAAAATCTGTTTTTTAATCTGCAAAAAGAAAAGGAGTACTTGTGGCACCTTAGAGACTAACCAATTTATTTGAGCATAAGCTTTCGTGAGCTACAGCTCACTTCATCGGATGCATACTGTGGAAACTGCAGAAGACATTATATACACAGAGACCATGAAACAATACCTCCTCCCACCCCACTCTCCTGCTGGTAATAGCTTATCTAAAGTGATCACTCTCCTTACAATGTGTATGATAATCAAGGTGGGCCATTTGCAGCATAAATCCAAGTTTAACCCCCAGACGTTCGGGTTAAACTTGGATTTATGCTGGAAATGGCCCACCTTGATTATCATACACATTGTAAGGAGAGTGGTCAGTTTGGATGAGCTATTACCAGCAAGAGAGTGAGTTTGTGTGTGTGTGTGTGTGTGTGTGTGTGTGTGTTTTGAGGGGTGGGGGGTGAGAAAATCTGGATTTGTGCTGGAAATGGCCCACCTTGATTTTCATACACATTGTAGGGAGAGTGGTCACTTTGGATAAGCTATTACCAGCAGGAGAGTGAGTTTGTGTGTGTGGTTTTTGGAAAAAGGGGGGGGGGGGTGAGAAAACCTGGATATTTGCTGGAAATGGCCCACCTTGATTATCATACATGTTGTAAAGACAGTGGTCATTTTGGATGGGCTATTACCAGCAGGAGAGTGAGTTTGTGGGGGTCGGGGGCAGAGGGTGAGAAAACCTGGATTTGTGCTGGAAATGGCCCAACTTGATTATCATACACATTGTAAGGAGAGTGATCACTTTAGATAAGCTACTACCAGCAGGAGAGTGGGGTGGGAGGAGGTATTGTTTCATGGTCTCTGTGTATATAATGTCTTCTGCAGTTTCCACAGTATGCATCCGATGAAGTGAGCTGTAGCTCACGAAAGCTTATGCTCAAATAAATTGGTTAGTCTCTAAGGTGCCACAAGTACTCCTTTTCTTTTTGCGAATACAGACTAACACGGCTGTTACTCTGAAACCTGTCATTTTTTAATCTGGTCTTTGTAGGTGCTCATGCAGCTATTGCAACCCAATGTTAGAAATTCTGAGGTGTTATATTTGTAAGAAATCTTTTCCGTATTTCTCTGTTCCACTACCTGGTGAATCTGTGATTGGAGACAGTTTTGTTTTAAATCAAAACCAAGTAAAAGTACAATAAAACTAAAAACCTGGTGAAAAAAACTCTTAAAAGTCTCTTACAGGTAAATGAACAATTGCTATACAAACGTTAGCTGCAGAAGGAGAACTAGGGTAAAAACAATAAATAACAAGAAATAAATTTAGGTCTGGTTCTCATATGGGGAAGTTTGCCCATGTCTAAATCAGTTTAGAAACTGATTTAGTCAAATCAATGCAACACTTATGTGGATGCTTTATTTCAGTTTAAGAAGCTATAGATTGATTTAACTTAAATTGGTCAGGAATTGGTGAATAAGTGTTTCCACAAGAGGGCTGTATTGATTTAATTAAATTACTTTCAAAACAGATTTAGTTAAATCAGTATAAATCTCTTGTGTAGACAAACCTTAGGTAACTGGGAGACTTAAATACTGACAATCATATATATTATACTTAATATGGCATGTGTCTAGCTCTGGTGATCATCTCTACCTTACTAGAAAATCTTATTTTAGGGTCCCAGAGTCTTCTATCTGGAGAAGGAAGATGGAAGAGAGTGCCAAGTTTAACCTCTGTGTGTTGTATTTTCTCTGCATGAAGCCCATAGCCATCAGTGGTTGTACAAATGGTATTGAAGAATTAATCCCATAAACGTGAAAGTTAGTGATGGGATTGGCTCTGCTTCTCCTTGGTCATTTGGCAGGTATCCTTGCTCTGTGTTGAACAAGTAAGCTGACCTGTCCTATTTTGCTCTTTGTTTCTCAGGCATATTACTATTGTGCCATTGTGGAGGATGTAATCCTGCGCTTTGCCTGGACCATCCAGATCTCCCTCACTTCCATGCAAATCTTTCCTTATGCTGGGGACATCATCTCTACTGTCTTTGCACCACTCGAGGTTTTCCGGTAAGGTGGCTCAGCTAAACAGTATTTCAAACTGCTTGTATATCCCTTTTGTTTTACAACCAATAACACCAGAAAGGTGGGGAAGTCCCTGGCTTTCCACAGGCTCCTGGAGCTGTTGTTTGAAAAGCCACAAACTGATGAAAACACAAAGCGCCAAGACTCAGAATATGCACTAAGCTGAGCAAATTGCTGGCTGAAAGAGTGCTATGGAATCTTTCACTGACCCATCTGGGATTCAGAGACCTCTGAAAACACATAGGTCTGACTGTAGGCAGGCCTGAGACCTGGGTTCTACCTCACTGTGTTGTATTTGCTAGGGGCCAAGGTCTTGCCTGAGTTTATTGCAGGAATTTAGCAAGCTCACATTTTAAGCATTTTCACTGGTAAAAATTATTGAAATGTCACTTCAAGGCTAAATTTACAAATTTTCCCAAATCCCTTCTGCTTTTGCAAATGATTAAAAAATGGAATTCTTATTGTGATCAGGCACTTCCAGAGCATTAATGCTGTCTGCTTTTTTGTGTTATATCAGGAATCACATGTCTGCTTGAGATGAGCAAAACAGCTTGCTTTTGAATCTCACTGTGTGGGGGGTTTTATTTGTATTTATTTTTCCTAATTGATAATCCTTGGGCTACCTTGACACCAGCCATGCTGGGGTAATCCTCGCTGTTAAAACTATGAATGATTCCACCAAAACTGTTTGCTTCCCTGGAAAAGTCCATCAATCTACTGCTGTGAAGTAATGTAGCAGGTTGCTCCTTGTTAGTCATTCACCTTCCTGGCCATTTACTTCTCTCCAACCTGTAAATTTACAGGGCCTTGCCCTCACAGGGGCTATGTGTAATCCTTGGGAAGTGTACGCAGTAGCATCTATGGGGCTGCATCACTGCTTTGCCAAAAATTGGTGAGAGCTGTGAAAGCAGTACTTAGTTTTTATATTATTCCTTTTCTCCTTCCCTCTCTCCTTCCAGGCGGTTTGTGTGGAATTTCTTCCGTCTGGAGAATGAGCATCTGAACAACTGTGGTGAGTTCCGTGCTGTCCGGGACATCTCAGTGGCACCAATGAATGCTGATGATCAGACGCTACTAGAGCAGATGATGGACCAGGAAGATGGTGTCCGAAACCGCCAGAAGAACAAGGTGTGGAAGCGTAGCCAGAGCGTGTCCCTGCGCCGACCTAATCTTTCTTCACAGTATGTATTGCTTTGTCCTCTTGCACAACAAAATTTGAAGGGATTAATTTATTAATAAGTGTTTGAAGTGCCATGTTGGAGACATAACTCTAAATAGTTTGAAAAGAGAGGACTGACCTGTCTAGTAAATAAATACATTGGAATTTTTACCCTCTCACGCCAAGTCTCTGTAGCATTGAATCAGTGTGCTTTGTTCAGTAAGGTTGACTAACCAAGTGAACTTTTGTCAGGTACAGAGTTCTGTTTAGATAAACACATTTAAGAAACAGTTTATCCCTCAGCAAGGTATGTCATAAGATAAGCTGTGTGTGTGTGAAGCACAGTGACAGATTTATATAAAAATCTTCCTATTATATTTTCCACTGTATGCATCTGATGAAGTGGGCTTTAGCCCACAAAAGCTTATGCCCAAATAAATGTGTTAGTCTCTAAGGTGCCACAAGTCCTCCTCATTCTTTTTGCTAAAATAGTAAAGATACCAATGATAGACGCATTCAATAACTAGACTATGAAAAAAAGTGTATAAATATGCTGAAAATAGCCACCCCCCAAAACTGGCAGATTGCCCCCACACACACACACACACATATTTCCTCAAAAGCATCCACCGGCAAAAACAAAGGTCAGTGCCTGTGATAAAGGTTATTCTAGTTTCATTCCCAGCCTCAAAAAATTTGTTTACATTTTGTGTCCCTTGTTTGCTGTGTTGTAACTAACCAGTGGAGGGCACTGTTAACCTGCTGAATTTAGCTGTATCAGAAAGGTGAGCATGGGAGGAAGAAAGGTATCAGTCATCCCTCTGTATTTTTATAGGGTGATCTTCCCATCCTGGGCGGGAGGGGAGAGTATGAATTACCACGTCTATAGTAGTCTGCTGGCCCAGACATTACCTGTGTAGGGAATATGTTTGACAGAGTGTATTTATCTTATCTGTATATTCTAGTAATGTCTTCCTTCCCCTCAGTGAGTATTTTTGTTTGCTTGTTTGTTTTTTCCCAGATCCAAGCCTCGTGACACCAAGATATTGATCGAGGACACAGATGACGAAGCAAACACATGAAACGTCCACAGATTCTAGTTCCACATCCCTTATTTTCTTGCTCTACTACCCTTTCCCAGACCAATCCAACCTCTGGTGCAGTTCCAGCTGAAAACAGGAGAAAACACTGAACACATTTTCCGAGCTCTTCCGGACCGGATCCTATGGACTCCAACAAGCTCACTGTGTTTCTTTTCTTCTGGTTTAATTTTCATTTTCTACTTTTAAAATAAATATTTACTTCGTTTTGCCAATCAGAGGACAGTTAAGGAAAGAAGTATCTAAGAATTGTTTACAATCACAACAAGGACACAAAACCCTATCTGGATGAAGAACAAGCATCATAGGGACTCCCTGATGGGACAGCACTGAGAATATACTCTGCTTCTGCTTGGCCCAGTTTCGACTGGTTTAAACCGGACTTGGGTTTTTAAATTTGTGTTTTGTTTTTTTCTTTCCTTCATATCCAGCGCTGAGGCACTGGCTGCACTTGCCGGTAAAGTGCACTTAGAGCAGTACCTTCATTCACGAAGCTACTTTTTAATTTGATGTAATTTTTCTTATAATTTTTTTGGAAATACGATGTATTTGTTGCTTACAGTTTTCACATTATTTATGAAACTTAACCATATGAGAATGATTTTTTGAGTCCTGTGCAATGAAGGCGATAACAGTAAAACAAGGCAGGGGGATGTAGATCTGGATCGCTTTTGTGAGGGTTATGCCCTGCGAATACCTCTTTCATGAGATAATTTGCACCAGTTTGACCCTTTTTCTCTTCAGTTTAGTTTTATTTATAAACCAAAGTTTTTCTTTCTGGTTTTAGTTGCTGCTGCTGCTTCAGAAGCCTGAGCATGTTTCACATACTGGTTCATGGTCATCTTTCCATGTGGCCATGCAAAGATGCAAATGATTCTGAGAATTTGTTTTAAAAGAGAGTTGTAATAAATCTTGCCACAAGGCCAAACACCCAGGCAAAAAAAGGGGAGTTGGTGTTTAGGTTAACAACTGTTTTTTTCAAAGCCTTAATCTTCATGAGATAAGGTGAGAGTACTGTCCACCCCGTTAAATAGGAGCTTTCCCATTGTTCTGCCTCCGCTAACTACAGCAAAAATAAAAGTGGATGAGATGAGGACATGATCTTTCCCATGTCTGGGAGGGGGGCGTTGTTACATGTTTTGATTCATAGGTGGCTACACTTCAGAGAATTGGCACCCCTGACCCAGTTTGCTGTGGGGCAAGGAGATGGTTGTGTGTTGGCCATAGGGTAGGGAAGTTGGTATTAAATTAGAAGTCTTTAATGACATTTTATTTTATGTGTCTTGCCAGGCTTTGGCAAAGTGTTCTCTACCAGTCACTTCCTGAGCACACCTTCAGGTTGCTTTGTTTCTTTCCCGTCCTTTGCACCCTCTCCTCAGTGTAATCTAAAACCAGTTAAGTGGTAGGTCAGTCTTGCACTGGAGTGTGAATGATCATACTCAGCAGGCTAGGGTTTAAGGACATCATACTGCTTAGCAATTTCAGTAGAAATGATAAGGCCAGCTTAATAAGCTTTGTATATTTTGATATCACCACCCCCCCTCTTAGAGAGCAGCATGAGTGTTTGAGAGGGCCATGCCCTACACCACTGCCGGCTTTAATGCTTGCAGAAAACTTCAATGTTTAATATTAATAAAATCTTATTTGTGCCTTGCTTTATTGCGTGTAAGGTTAACACCAGGGACTGGGAGAAGCTGCTTCAGTTCCCTTTAATCCTATCCTTAACCCAAGGCTCGACTTTACAGCAGGGACTGTTGAAAACTTTGCATCTTTTTCTTATGGGCATGGTCACTGTTTTTGCTGCTCTGTGTCCTTGTTTTTAACCACTCTTCCATGTATCCCAAGTACTCTCTTAGTTCTTTGGCAGTTCCAGTAGCTAGGTATATACAGTTATTGTTCAGACTCCAAGTGGCAGATGAACACCCTCAACTAAGTAGGAACCATTTTTGACTTCTGTTCCTTGTTTTGTATTTACATTTCTAGCAGTCAGATGCTAGGAATCCCTGCTCAGCTGCTGTTAAATAATTTTTCTTTCTTTAGCCAATCATATGGCTTCTTCCATATGGCTGGTGTGCTGCTTTTTCTTAGTTTGCCCATTGTGCCTCTTGCCGGGAGGAATTGAAGAAGGAAACGTAATTGTATTCATTTAGCTTAAATAGGGCAAAATAACTTTATCATACATTGGTGGTAGTGAACTGGTGCCCCTTGACAGAGTAAGCATTATCTCAATTATCAGCACTGTCATATTGCACCCTGAACTTATCAAGAAACTTTGCTGAGCTGCCAGGAAAGGCCTCAGCACTACCACTGATCTACTGAAAGTGATAGTGTCATTCCGGTGGAATAGATGATTTGTGTATTGTTATTTCTCCACCAACGTGACCAGGGCTAGCTGCTATTTCAGCACCAGCCCATTCTGGTGAGAAAAATCTGAACAATACAGACTAACCCAGAATTCTGTCGTTGACCCTTTTGGTGCCCAGGAGTCTGACTCCCCTGATCTTGACTCACTGATGCTTCTTGTTCAGACGCTGACAGATGCACCTGTCCAGCAGGAAGTGGAGTTTGAGATGGAAAGCTCTCTAAAGTATTTCAGTCCACTATTTTGCATTTCAGTGGTTTTTGCTGTATTTGCAATGTTTGATTCCACACGAAACAGAGAGCTCATTCTCCTGGGAGGTAACTATGATACTCCAGCTAATAACAATTGGAATATCATCAGCAACTAAAACTGTCAGAGAATAGCGATGCCATACATGCCAGTGGGCAGTTTAAAAAGAGTAGCAGCCAAACCAAGGGGCACAACCTGAACTAATCGTGTCATTACTTAAGGAAGCATTGCTTTAAAAAGGGAAGGGTTGGGGCTTACTGATAGCACTCTCTTGTCAAAGGAATGGAAAGTATCATTGCGGCAATTAGGGCATCTGAAAATATTTTATAACTTGGTACAGAGAGCTCTTAAAGTATCACGGAACAAGTAGAAGCAGGTGAAACATTGTGAATGAGTTTCTGAGCTCAGCTAGGAGAATCGAACATGTTTTGGTCAGTCTGCTTCTGACATGAGTGGTACTGCATGAGCCGATTGGCTTAAAATTTAAACCCACGGAAGGATCAAGTCAATAAGAACTGAGATCTTGGTCAGTTTTTTTCTGCAACGTATCAAAACTCTGGAGGAAGAGAGAATTTTGTTCTGTTTGTCAGTATACCGCTCTCACCTTCTTCCTCTTCCCACCCTGCAGAAGAGCACTCTGTTTTGGGCTATGTTTTTCCTGCCAAAAAAGTTGGGTTTTTTCACAGTGAGACAGCTAATTGATGTTAGCTAACTTGGTGTAAAAATGCCTGTTTTATGACCACAAAGACAGCCTGTGTAATGAAGGTGTCTGTACACTTGGGTCAGGATCCCTGACCCCCCCCCAGCATCATGCTCCAAAAGAACCCAGTTTCCAGAATCACTGTACTGCCTGGTGCTGCAAGGGTTTGTATTCTGTGACTACACAGATTGATTTCTGAGCCATTCAGAATATAGCTCCACTCCGGAGTTAGTTCTCAAAACCTGTCTGGTTCCATCTCTGAACATACAGTGATATCTGGCCAGTTAAATGAGATATAATCGAGCAGGGCAACTAGTGAAAGAAATATAACCACCTCTCCTGCTGAGTGGTCTGCAAAATGAGAAAATGAGAGAAGATGTCTTCTCTCTGGTGGTCACACTTCATGAATGACCTTTGCAAATATAACGGAATGGGTATTTGTAAAAATACTGCTGTAGAAGACTAGTATTACTAAATGCAGAATGCGCAGTGAAAGGAGAACGGGAACTGGGTTTTTTATCTAGTGGATTGCCTCAAACTCTCAGATGGGATAGCAGGAGAGCCACGAACCTGTTCTCAACTTTGTTAAGCAAAAGTTGGAAAATGCCCATCATCTTCCTGTTTTATAGCACCTATGTTTGCGTTTCCTTTGATCTCTCTGGGTTCTCTCCTTCCCTTATTTGATATCTTAAAGGGTGCTCTTCTGCTGGAATAGAGACCTACCCAGTGGTTCTGCTTTGTATTCACCTGAGCTTAGAGTGGATGGTATTTGTCTCACCACTGGATGGTTTTTTTAAATGGAGATTTTCCCCCACCCCTGTAGTTTAGAAGTTCCAATTGGCCACATTCATTCCCTGTTCAAAGGGATCTCCATCCCTCCCAGACATCTAAAGTTGCATGGGGATTGTCAGGCAATGTTAATCAGGCAGATCTGTTCCCAGGCTGTCGAGATATTGACCACTGTGAATCCACACTGATCTCTAATTCCCTGGGACTTTCCTCCAGCTTCTGACTGTACTATATGAAAATGACATTTTGATCACTGGCATGTGCTCATCACAAATCGTAGATCTTTTTCTATACTTTCCTGATAGGCCAGAATCCCTTTGCTGTGTTCCATAGATGAATTTCATCCAAGCGGAGGAAGGCAACTGGAAGAAGAAGAAAAAAAAAAAAAAACAGTGGATTCTCTGCATAGAACTTCATAGAGCAAAGCTTAGTGAACTAGGGCAGAAATCGTGGGGGAGAGCGTGCCTATCAGGCTCATTCTCTACTAACTTTACTGCTACCTTTCCCTTCATATTCTCCTGCTTTCTTATGGCTGTATCCTGAATGTCTCAATATATTCATACTTCTGAAATTCAGATACATTTTGGAGGCAAATTTGCTTGCCCTGTGCCTTCCCCTATCCTACTTCCTCTGTTTCTTCAGTATCACTGTTTATATCATGTTATGAAGAGCAATACAGAGGAAGAGACAGAAGCTTTCTGCATAGAACTACAGGCAGAAGTTCCCGCTGTGGTGCAGTGAGACTGAGCCATCCTCTGAAAAAGGAAGCTCTTCATGCTACTATTCTGTCACCTCCTGTTGGCTGCTCTGATTCGTCCAGGTACCCCTTAGCTGCTGCTTCCTACAGGCCAAAATGAACAAATTCTCTTTCCTTCTTCTCCCCTCCGTATGTCTGCCAGCCTTGTGCAAGGAATCATCTGTTCAAGACATGCCTCCTCTCAGAATTTATCCTTCAGTCTTTGCCTCTGGACAAAGGGGAGAGGAAGAATGCACTGGGCTTCGTAGTTTTCTGTATTGCCCATAGGAGGCTTCTGTGTCTGGGATCACACATCTTCACAGCAATGTGTCTGCAAAGGGGGATGGAGGATTCATTATTTTGGGCTGCTGCACTAGTTGTGCCTGTGTAATATCCTGGGGGTGGTTTACCATGAATCCTCAAGGAATGATGGGGATCAGGGCCAAAATTTTCAAACTTGAATACCCCAAGTGAGGCATCTGAGTCCACGTTTGGGCATCTGAATAAAAGGGGCCTGATTTTCCAAGGTGCTGAGCAGTCACAGCTTGTTGCTCATTGTTTCTGCAAACCAGATGACTCTCTTTTAAGTGCCTAATTTTAGGCACCCAAGTTTGAAAATCTCTTGCCCATTTTGGTGATTTAGCAAGGCCTACCTTGAAGAGTTTAGCTGACTTTAGCTCTGCTGAGCACAAGACCAACTTGACTAGGAAGTGGATTGAGTGTCTGAACTATAGTGCTTAGGTCAGGGCTTCACACCAGCCCGATTCCTCCCCCCCACACACACACTTTTATCTCTTCCACGGCGGTTCTGAGTCACTCCAAGCGGGAGAGAGCTGTTCTGCCTTAAGCATTATTTCTGGAAGGCTACTGATTTATTTTGCTCACTGAAAAAGAGGGGATCAGGACTCCTTGTGGAAGGGTGGAGAATCATTATACTAACTTCAGATGTAATCAGACTCTCAATTGTAGATCGTTAAATCAAACCCCGCCTCTGTAACATCATGACATCTGTGTGACTTGGGTCCCAAAAATGACTCTGCATACTTTGGGGCAAATATGTAGACCTGCCACAACAGGGATTTAACCCAGAACTGGATCAAACTGCTACTCTAGTTTACCCATGGGATTTCAGTCCCCACCACAACTTAATGGGAAAATCACCAGAGTGACACAAGAAATGCGGATTTCTCTGGGGGAAAGGGGCCTTTAATATTGGGTAAATCCTGGGACCAGTTCCTCGTCCCTGCAGCCCAGACAAGTGTGAGGTTGCTCTGGTCTGTGTACATCTCACAGTAGCATCAGTGTGTTGGTGGTCAGGGGACTTACTGGAAATCCTGGGGCTGTAATAAGGCCATAAAATATAATCCTTTTGAGTTCTTAAAACAAAATTGTATGAGCCCTTCAGTACAGACAGTGAATCTCTTCAGCCTGTAACACTTTGTGGCTGTCAACTTCCTTACTATCTTGTCAATCCTTCTATCAAATAAACAGTATTTGGAAGGGACCTGGGGTAGAAATGTATTTGCTGCTTCAGAAATTTATCCTTGCCTCACTCCCATCTTTCTGTACACCCCTCACCCCTGCTGTGTTGGTCTAAATGATGATTATTCTATGAAGCCCTGAGCTGTAGATGTCAAAAGTAACTATGGAATGTGATTAGTCCTCTGTGGGTGCTTTCTTTTTTTCCTCCTTTCTCTTTTGCTATCTCCTTCTCCACTCTTCTTTTGGCTAAGTGGACAAGGTGAGGACAAAGAATTGCCGCTTGCTTGGACTCATGATGTATCTGTGACTGCGCTATTAGCTGTCTCCTTTTTCCTTCCCAAATGGATATAACATTTTTTAAGTGTGGAATACCCTTCTTGATAAGTAGGTTTTAAAAAAATGCACAATGTGGTACTGTTTCATAGTTTCTAGGTGGTTGTATAAAACAAAGTCAACTGTGGTTATGTGTTTTTAAAAGGAAAAAAAGTGATTGGTTACTAAATCTGTCCTTTTTTCATTATTACAAGCTCTTTGTTTTCCAATGATTGCATGGCTCCTTTGTCACTGGTGTGGAGTGTGTGTGTGTGTCCTTTTTCCTCTCTGGGCTGATGACCTTTTCATTTCTGAACATTGACACTGCCATTACTTGCTTAACTCACCTGTAGACTTACAAGCCAAACTGTGATGGGGCTGGGTTTCTGGGAAGGATGGCAAGTTTGTTTATTGGGGTCTCTTTAAAGAGAAAAGGAGGTCTGAAGCTAAAGATTTGCAGGCTGCAAATGTTGGTCCTGAGTAGCTGTATGGGGGACTGTGAATAGCTTGTGACTTTAAAAAAACAAACAAAAAACCAAACCCTAACATTTACAACTCCTGTGCTTTACATTTTGAAGGCAACAGAAATGGCTAGAAATGTTTGAAAATAATCAGTTAAGATCACATCGACATTTAAAAGGTCCCACAGATCAGAAGGCCTGTGGCTACAAGCTTTGTGGGTGTGAAAGTCTGCCCCTGCATGAAGGAAAAAAGGAGAAAGAGGCATAGCAAGTCATATGGATATAAAGGGCCAGTTTAATTTGAGCCTTACACCAATACGGAGCCTTATCTGCCCAGTCTCAAGAATGCTTTCCATAATACTTCTGAAATTAGCTACCCTGATAACCAGCTACAATTAAGCTGTTTTCTGCACCACTTCAAGGAGATCTATTGCTAACAACCATTGTCTGTAACAGGTCAGTTCCTACTGAAGAAGTGCCTGGCACTATCTTAGGATTCGGCAAAAAGTGCATCCTGAACAATAAATTGACGTTGTGTAGGTGTCTTGTGTACCTGTCAGTAATTGTACATAGACCCCACACGCACTCTTCTGTACAGAACCTGTGGCAGATTGTCACCCTCTGCATTCTTAGGATCAGAAAACTTTGGATCACAGTAGTTCTGCCACTCTAGAGAAGGACACATGGTCAAATGTCTTGCATCTTCGAACAGACATTAAAGTATGTACAATCTATATTTTAATGGTCCAGTTAGTGACCATGCTTTTTGTCTGTCTTAAGGATAGAGTATAACAACAAACCAATGCCACCTGGCTTGTATCTCATCCAGAGCCTGTTAGGTGGTGATTGTGGGTCAATGGAAACAGTGGATTCTTGGATAATCATAAGAGTGAAAAGCCCCGAAGGATGCATGTAGGGAGAAACAACAACATCTCCATAAAATGAATGCAAGTTAGTAACAGGATGGTTACACTTTAAGGGCTAGGAGGTCTGGGGCTAGCCAACCTTGTTTAATCAGCCTCATAAAAGGGCTGAGAAACTCAGTTTCGAAGAGGAACCACAGGGAACAAGTTGGGCTTTTGTGGAAGGCCCTGAAGTAGGGTCTGGAAGGACTCCAGGGATGTAGCCTGGGAGTCAGTGCTCTACCCCAGAGCAGGGAAAATGGAGAGGTAGCCCAGAGGGGCTAAGACTGTGACAGGGACTCTAAGGACGACGTCAGCCTTGGAATAAAGGTCTCTCCAACAGCCAGAGAGACTTAATGGTAAGGCAGAAGGGACTGGGACTTCAGCCTGGAGGGTGGGCTGAAGAGAAGCCCAAGCAGGGCAGAAGAACATTTTGTTTGTTTGGAGTTTTGTTACCCTGGAAGGAGGGTGAACTTTGACCCAGCCAGAGGGCTGAGCCATGTGGCTCCCTGGGACAGACAGGAAACCCTGGTGAGGGGAATAAATTGAGGCAGGGAATACCTGCAGCACCAAACTTTGCCAGCAGGCGGTGTTACAGGGCAGGATGCCCTATAACAGTGGAATAAGGCAGATGAAGAAATGTAGTTTGAATAGGGAAGGTGGAGAGAAATAATATGAAGATGGTCATCACAGTGCCCAGTTCCAACTAAGTATTAGATTTTTTGCTAGGTTGCTTAATTAGGGATTAAGGTCTGAAATGTAGGAAGAATTTCAGCTTAATTTAGAAGAGGGGAGAAAAGTGATCAGTGTTAGTTGTTGCAACAAGAAAATATATACTTAAAGTCTATGGCACAAAATGAGTTACACCTGGACTTTCTGATTTTGTCCCTACATGCTTGTGGTATTCTTTTGTACAAGAAGAAGTTCTATTAAGTACATTAGGAGCAAGACAATTAATATTAACGGGGGAAGGAACGCAAGCCAAAATATGGAAAGAACAGCTTAAAGAATATTTAGAGAAGTTAGATGTAATCAAGTCAGCAGGACCTGATGAAATTCACCTTAAGGTATGTAAGTAACACTGCAGCAATCTCATAATTGTTAGCAATTATATTTGAGAATTCATGGACAATGGATGAGGTCCCAGAGGACTGGAGAAGGGCAAATATGTAGTACCTATCTTTAAAAAGGAGAACAAAGAGAATCCATGGAACTAGAGACCACTCAGCCAGCCTAGCTTCAATACCTGGAAAGATACTGGAACAAATTAAGCAAGCAATTTGTAAGCACCTAGACTATAAAAGGGTTACAAGTAATACCCAGCATCAGTTTGGCATGATATGTTCTTGACAAATCCATCTTAATTTCCTTCTTTGACAGGGTTACTAACTTAATAGATGAGGGGAAGCTGTAGATGTGATATTTCTTGATGTTTAGTAAGGCTTCTGACAGTCCCACATGATATTCTCATAAGCAAACTAAGGAAATGTGGTTTAGCTTAAATTACTTTAAGGTGGGTGCAAAATTGCTTGAAAGACCATACTCAAAGAATAATTATCAATAGTTTGCTGTCAAACTGGGCGGACGTGTCTAGTGGAGTCACGCAGTGGTCTGTTCTGGGTCTGGTACTATTCAATATTTTCATTAATGATTTGAATAATGGAGTGCAGAGTATGCTTATGGAATTTACAGATGATCCTAAGCTGGGAGGGGCTGCTAGCACTTTGGAGAACAGGCTTAAAATTCAAAACAACCTTGATAAATTGGAGAGCTGGTCTGAAATCAACAAGATAAAATTCAATAAAGACCAGGAAAAATCAAATGCACGGCTACAAAATAGGGAATAACTGGTTAGGTGGTAGTACTGCTGAAAAGGATCTAGTGATTATGATGGATCACAAATGGAATGAGTCAATGTGATGCAATTGTGAAAAAGGCAACTGTTTTGGGACGTATTAACAGAAGTGTTGTATGTAAGACACAGGATGTAACCAACCTGCTCTACTCAGGCTGGTCAGGCCTCAGCTGGAGTCCTGTGTCCAGTTCTGGGTGCCACACTTTAAGAAAGGTGTGAATAAATTAGAGAGAGTCCAGAGGAGATCAACGAAAATGATAAACCGTTTCGAAAATCTGACCTATGGGAGAAAACTTAAAGAACTGGCCATGTTTAGTCTTAAGAAAAGAAGACTGAGAGGGACCTGATAATTCTTCAAATATGATAAGGGCTGTTCTAAGGAGGAGGATGGTTAATTGTTCTGCATGTCCACTGAAGATAGGATAAAAAGTAATAGGCTTAATCTGTAGCAAAGGAGATTTAAGGTATATATTAGGGAAACGTTTCTAACTACAAGGATCGTGAAGAACTTCCAAGGGAGTTTGTGGAATCTTAGTCATTGAAGGTTTTTAAGAACCAGTTAGACAAAACACCTCTCCAGGACGGTCTAGGTCAGTGGTTCTGAAACTTTTTTTTCATAGACTACTTAATGATCTTTCCAAATGTTGTTTGTACCGTTAGCTAACTATTGTAAAGCACTTTGGACAAAAGCGCTATATAAGAAAACCTTAGTAGTAATTTACGTGTTTTTAATCTACAAATAAAAGCACACAACTCATATTTTAACATCAGTAGTTTAACCTTTCTAAAGCAAAGGATGTGCCCTCTCTGCCCCACCGCAGCAGTCCCCGAGCTGGGGCTGGGAAGGACGGGGGCGGGTCTCTCCCCTGCCACAGCAGCCACAGAGCTGGGGCTGGGAAAGGGGGCCATCTCTCCCCGGCAGCCACAGCCCTGGAGCTGGGGGAAAATCTTTCTCTGGCCACCACAGCCCTGTACATCCCAAATTCCCCTCACCCGTCTTCTCACCCTGCTGCCTCCTCCCACTTACCCCCTATTCCCCCCAAGGCCACCACCTCACCTTACATGTACATCTTCTCCAGGGTCCAGGCACCTAATTAGTGGAGCTAATTAGGTGGGTGGCCCTTCATTCTCTCGTGTGCAGCCACCCAGGCATGCACCTTAGAGGGAACTCTCTGCGGACACCCTGAATGGAGCTCGTGGACCACTGGTGGTCCACAGACCACAGTTTGAGAATCTCTGGTCTAGGTTTACTTTGTCCTGCCTCAGCAGCGGTGGCAGGACCAGATACCCTCTCAAGGTCTTTTCCAGCTCTATATTTCTATGTTCTATAAAAGGCCAGGATCTTGGTAATTAATTCTGCTTCATAGGATTAGTGTAATAGTTGGAAGCTATTGAAGGGATGGTTTGGCCCAGATGTTAGGGAGGACTTCTTCCAGATTTCCTGGAATGTGTAACCACATTCTGCCACATGTTGTAGGAAATTTGTTTTAAAAAGAAAGAAGTTTGGACACAAATAGAATGAAAATATAGTTGGGGTCTATTTACTAAACATTGTCTTGCTAGTTCTACGGTCATGTGGTGTGCCTGGTGCTCTTTAGGCAGACGAGCCCTATGCCAAGGAGCAGATGGTCTAAATTGGAAGCTGAGCAATAAGATGTATTTGTCATAAGAAGCAGAAGCAGCTTGTGGAAATCTTCCACTCATGAAAGAATTTTCGGTAGTATCTGGCTGGTGAATCTTGCCCATCTGCCCAGGGTTCAGCTGATTGCCATATTTGGGGTAGGGAAGGAATTTTCCTCCAGGGCAGATTGGAAGAGGCCCTGAAGGTTTTTCACCTTCCTCTGTAGCATGGGGCACGGGTCACTTGCTGGAGGATTCTCTGCTCCTTGAAGTCTTTAAACCATGATTTGAGGACTTCTGTAGCTCAGACATAGGTGAGGTTTTTCGCAGAAGTGGGTGGGTGAAATTCTGTGGCCTGCGTTGTGCAGGAGGTCAGACTAGATCACAATGGTCCC